GCCGTGGTCGACGCTCTGAGCCAGCGGTCCCAGGGCACTGGATTCCACAGCAGCCCCACTCCAGGCACGCTGCCGGTCACTTACACTGCGGTATCACCAGAAACTGTCTCCCAAATTGCCCATCCCAAGAGCTCAAAATTTCCCTTCCAGAACTGCGGGTGCAAGGAAGTAAAACGTGGTCTCCTCAGCACTCGGTACAACAGCTCCTCTGTGCTGAGGTGTTCTCCTTCACCAGTGAGTGATGCCACAGCCAACGCGTAGGAACACTGCCTGGAGCAAGAGAGGACATCTGGTGTGTATATACATTACTAGTCACGTTGCAGCACCATGTGCACTGAGAAATAGTAAAGGGAAGTAAAAGCACTGTTGTTTGGTGTAATGACTATGCATTCATCCAACAAAACACACATTTCAGACGAGCTGTTTAGGCTTCCATTAAATAGCTGGATTTCCTTGGTAGCATGTGACATGGTATCTAGTTTAATCCTAGCTCTCTGTATTGTGCATTTGCGAAGGTACCTGCATCACAGTGGTCCAGACGAAATCGTTTTGCCCTTCAGAGAAAACCCAGTAACAAATTCAGTACCAGAGAGCAGGTGTTACAGATGATATTATATGAAAAAAATCAAGACTTGTGATAGTGCTTAATAAAAGAAAAAGCAAAACACAGCAGTGATACAAAAATGTCAATTTGTAGGCAGAAATTAGGAAAATAAACACTACCAAAGCAATGCTGTTTTCAGCAACCTCACTTTACTTTCAATGCTGTTTTAAGATTCACGTAATACCTGTAGAATTTCATTCAGTCATGACAGAAGAGGTTTAGATTTTAACTCTCAGGAGTTTACAGCACAAGAAAATGGGCTGCAAGTGTTTAAGAATTTTCTTTGTAACAGCTGAGTAAACTAATGCTCAATACCCTGATGTATTATTTTGATAGTGGACATTTTGTTTCCCCATTTCAGCAGAATTGCAGCATTTACATACAGAATTATAAAAACCAAGTGAGACTTTTACACAGATCATCTGCCCTGCATGTTATCCTGACTGTTAGAAGAAAAATCCATGTATTGGTCAAAACTGTACAGAGCAAACACCCAGGAAAAAGGTCCTTTTTTATTCTATGACATTGTGTTAATACAATAAATATAGAAAACTTCTGAACTACTCAGACATGCAACAAAGGGACAGAAGGAGTGCATTTGTACAGAACCATGACATTCACCAGGATGGCAGAGCATTGTTAGTAATTTACAAAATATACAAACATCCCTTAGATAAATAAAGCCAACTCCTAAATTACAGATCAATGACTACTGACATTCCAGTGTTTAAACTTCATACTTTGTACTCAATTTGCCACAATACTACAAAATGACTACTTAAGTGGGTGCCATACTCTGATAAATTAATGAGAGACTGTAAAATCTAGTTTTCTTTAGGTACAAAATATTTTAGCAAGTATCAACCTGCTGTCAAAGCTGAACTCAAACTTTGTTTTTCCTCCCTTTTGGGCTACAAAGTGTTACGAGATTTCTGGTTTAAATAATTCATGTGTAACTGAGTCTTGAATTCCACTTGGGAGGTTTCAGTCTGTAAGTTCCACTCATGACATGGCAAATCAACACCCCTATACACAGAACATTAAATACATTTTTTCAAAGAGCCTTTAAACATTTGGGAAAAACTCTACATGCCAAATTCGGTTTTATTCCTAACGTTTTATTCTGTAATATATTCTGGTACTGTATATTATTATGCAATCTAACATGTTAAATTGCAAGGATGATGCCCCTGGGATTCCTATTCAAGGGATGCCAAGAGAATTCCTTAAATTTAGATTTAAAAGTAATCCACAGTAGAGTTCCTAGCTACAACCCTCAAGTTAAGATTAAGAGACAGTAAGAAGAACAATCTTGATATACAGCTGCTAGAAGGATGATGCCTGATCTCAACAGAAAATAGTGGCTTTTATCTGCAAAGCTTTTTACAACATTCCACACAGATTTAAGTTCAATGCTACTGTGTCCATTAGTATGGAATTTTAGAGCCCCTATTACACAGAATATTTAAATTGCTTTTAACTTCATGACACAGAGGACATATAGAAGCAAGTATATTCATTAACACGATCCCCATAATATTAATATGTCCTCTATTAATAGATGAAGTGCAGGGGTTAAACCCCCAGTCCTGAACGAGGGTTGGCATACGGATGATGTCCACAACCAGGCAAGGAAGACACTCCTGACTGGTTTT